TCTGATCTTTTTGCACAGATGTCCTTTTGAGTTGCATCCTTTTATGTGATCCTTGTCTCAATATCCTAGACTAGTCACCCCACTGAGTCGCTGTCTATATGTTTTGCAGGGTTTTGCAGAAACGCCACAGGGAAAGCCAGCTTTTGTGCTTGCTTTCTTCAGCATTTGCTGATTGTAGTTTGTTTTTGTCTTTGCAGACCTCTTGCTTTTCTATCGTCCCATTGATGTGTTTATAATATTTTGTATATGTATTATTTACCAGAAGTGTTTTTACAATTACATTTCTGAAAACAAAATAATATTTTAATACTTTATTAACAATATTTGCATGGGAACCTATTCATCAATATATCATGAGAGTACAGCTTAATGAGTTTTAACAAGCTTAATATATCCTTGGACCAGTACGGAAATTCATTAAGAAAACACCAACAATGACCCAGAACACTCACTCCCCCTTGGGCCAGTCACTGCCTTGCCCAAGTCAAATATTATTCTTTTTAACTTTTTCTTTTTTTGGTACCGGGGATCAAACTCAGGTCCTTGTGCTTGAGCAGCAGGCGATGGTCAAATATTATTCTTAATTTCTCTCTCTCTTTTTTTTTTTTTTTTGGTACCAGGGATCAAACTTGGGTCTTTGCGCTTGCGCAACAGGAGGCGAAACCACTGAGCTAAACCCCTGGCCCATTATTCTTAATCTCAAAGATTAGTTTACCCTTTTTTAAAAAAATGTATGTACATATATTCCTACAAAAGGTAATATTTGATTTCTGGCTTCTTTAGTCCACAGCATGTTAGTGAAATTCTGCCATATTGAGTATAATATAAATCAATTCATTCTCATTGTTGTAAAATATTATTTATAAGGCAGAATTTAAGTAAATGTGCTGATGGTACATGATGATGGAGACTAGGGCGGGATTGTGGTGAAGAAGCAGGAAGGGTGTTATTTGGGTAGCCATTTAGACCATTATGGATGGTGCTACTCTGAAGGTTCTAGAACATGTCTTTTAGTGAACATGTGTATGCATTTCTATTGGGTAGAGACTTAAGAGTGGTATTACCAAATTGTCTTACTTTTAATTTCAAAAATGAGACTTTTAACATCTTTTAAATACAAAGTGCCTTAAGAGAAAAATTACTAACCAACATCCCTCCAATTCCAGAAGTAGCCAGTATGTCATTTTTTAGGCTTCGATAAACATAAATGTACATGATCATAAATTTTTGCTGCAAAAGTAGGAGCATAAATTTTCAGTGAAAATGCGTACTTCAGAGCATTCCTCAAAGTATGAATTCAGTTGATCTTATTAAAGAACTGCAAAATAATTTGTAATATTAATTTTTAATAAACCATTCACTCACATACCACTGAGTACTTATAGGATTTAATAGTGCAAAAGTTATTTCAGTGCTTTCAGGATTTCATGGCAATCTCCTTTACTCAGGCTTACTCAGGACAGAAAACAAAGAAAAACAAAGAAGTCCAAGGAGAAATAGAAATAAGAAAGGCTATATGGCTAAAACTGGCCTAGAAGTGTAGAGTTTGTGGAAAAGAGTGGAGCCAGCTCATATATTGAGGAGACATCTCATTGGGAGACAGGGAAAGGAAATGTCTTCAGGGGGAAATCATAAGAAAAGAACAGAAAAGAAAAGAGAAAATGATCCTAGGTAGTTCTTTCTCACCCTGCACTCATCTGTCAGGATAAGACATCATGGAGCACCTGCTTATGACCTAGGAGAGGTGGGAAATAGAAAAATAAAGCACAGTTCTTGATCCATGCTGCCTCTAGTTTGGGGCGTTCTAACAAAAACTTGAGTAATACAGGACTGTCTTATTCTGTCCCCTTTATCACTGAATTCACCTTTCACTGGGAGGTCCAGTCTTGGCACTATTTTACAGCTGGGGAGAAAGTTTTATGACAGTCTCCTCCTGAATTTAGTTTGATCGGGGGACATTTTCTCTTTAGGTACTGGGCAAACAGGTGCAAGGGCCGTGAGAGGTGGGGAGCTGGAGAATGTACAGGCACGTGGAGGATCTCCTCAAAGCCTTGGGGACAAACAGAGGAAGACCCGAGGGGCTTCTCTCCGGATTTTACCCTTGAGCTCATCAAGCTAGACCGACATAGGAGACTCAAGGTGGGACCCGATTAGCAGTAAACCCAGGTCATGTAATATCAGATCCCACCCTTGATTAAAATGGATCAGGACTAGGACCCAAGTTCAAGAACCCTGCACACTGACAGAAATCATATTCCTAGAGAAGGCACTACCAGCTGTTGGAGCAAGGGTTTTTGTCCAGTTTCTTTAGTTAGTTGGATTTATTTATTTATATTATAAATAATACAAACTTCTATTGAAATGTTAATGAAGTGCATAAAGAAAAATACTTATAAGAAATCCACCTGTGTAATACATATATAAATATTTATGAGTATCCAACTTGTCTGAAGTAACAGATTCTCATACTTGAATCTATAGCTTCTATCTAATTTCCTTGTTTACATAAGTTTATAAAAAGATTTCTAATTTTTTGTACAAAAATGCAAACTATTTTATTATTAACACAATGTTTACTTCATACATATTGAAAGAGAGAAAGCCTCTAATTATTCCCGGTCAATATACAGAGATTTAACCCATTCTTGGAAATAGTTGTGTATTATTTTACATAAAGGTTTATCATTATCAGACTGCTCCCTTGTTTAAAAAAAAGTCTAGATTTATTCTTTTTAAACAGATTGCTCCGCTGTACTCACAAAGTGGACGTCAGGGTCTCTGTCAGGGCTTTGATGCCAAATCTTGGGTAGAAACTAACAAAGCTTGGGCTCTGGGGTCAGGGCGCCGGCCAAGCTCCGCCTCCTTGGCCTCGACCAATCAGCTGCCGGGTTCCGCCCCTCCTCTCCAGTCGGAACTGCAGCAGGCTCCCAGCCCTTCGCCACCCATCTCCAAATCCCCAGGCCTCCTGGTTCGTCTCCCCGTCGTATCCCAGTGGAGGACACCCTTCCCCCTCCAGAGTAGCAGGGTGTGGAATTGCTGGACGTGGTGAGTCTTGCCCAAAGATGTTTCCTGAACTGCAGGCCAAGGAGCACCTACCGAATTAGGGCTGCTCCGTGGAGTGCACTGCAGCCCCCAGCCGGGTCCCGGAGCTAGGCTGAGGTTCTAGGCCTGAGACGCTTGTGCCCAGGGGACAGGTCCTTCCAAGAAGGTTCCCTGCGGTCTCCTCATCTCTGGAGTCCCCGCTTTTTCTGGCATTTTTATTTATTGCATGCTGAATTCCTTCTCCTGGAATCTAACCGTTGCGTCTAATAAGTCTCTACCTTGTTTTTGTTTTTGTCTTTTTGGTACCAAGGATCGAACTCAGGTCCTTGTGCTTGTGCAGCAGGCGGCGAAACCACTGAGCTAAATCGCTAGCCAGATCTTTACCTTTTAAAAGCATTTTTCATGATGCAGTGTTATGTACAAAAATTAATATAATTTATCAGATGCCGACATTTTATCACCCTTGCTTTGGCTAGCTGGTTCTCTCTGTGTGTCTCTGTGTCTGTCTCTCCCTTTTAAAACTAAAATTAAAGCCCATTTTTGCACCAAATCTCATGCCTGTGCTCCTGCATCTTCCAAGGTAAGTTAGTTTGTATTCTTCCTGTGTATATATTTGCCCTGTGGTATTTATTTTTATGCAAGCAGTACATGCGTTTTCATTACCACTTTAAGGTTATTTTCATGAATGTCATTTCGATGGTACTGAGTCCTGACATTTCAGATCCAGAAAGAACTTACTGAGCCTGCCTGCCTCTGTCATTTAGCTGAGAAAGCTGAAGGCCAGAGAAGGTAAAGAAGGTGAAGGACAGGCTCACCATCTCTCAGGGGGTCTTCACCCAGCAGGACTCTGAACCCAGGTTCTGTTGGTTTCTGTCCTCGACAGTGGCTCCACGTAAACCATGCCAGAGCCCACCTTATCACTGGGCTCCTAATGTTCACATGGGAGAGGGGGTGTTCAAGGGAGATGAGAAAGGAAGTATGGCTTGTACTTGGACCAAAAACCCAGTTAGTACTGAAAGTTATGCATCTTCCTAGACTTGAAATATTGAATCATAGGATGACTTAAATATTTGTCTTACTTAACAGACACTCAGACAGTTATATTGTGTGCCAGGCATTGATTTAAGAACAAGTCTTAATCCACCTACTTTGAATCTTAAATAAATTCGTAATGCAGGTGTAAGTTTTATCATCCTTCATTTAGAGGAGAATTAAGTAACGCCCAAAGTCACCCAGCTTGGACTTGGAGTCAAGCCATCTGGTGGGAGTCTGAGTCCCTGGCCATTACACTACCCTGCTAGAAGGGAACATCTGTCACCATGGTGAAGTCGCCCCACGAAGAAGGGACGTGCAGTTGACAGAGAAAGGTGCAACTGTCAACTGATTACTAGAAAGGGCCTAAAGGGGATTTCAACTGTACACTAAACAAGACATTCCCGTTACCCATCGCTTGTGTGAAATCTATGATTTTCAACTTTAAAAAGGCACACGTGATTAAGACAATGCAGTCAATGCAGAGACATAAAAAGTTGTCTCTCCCCTGTTCCTCAGATTAAATATAAGCAGGTAGAAAGGTTTTCTTCCCTTCTTCCCACATAACACGAATTTGGGTCCCTGTATATAAATGAAAGCCTATTCAACAATTTCTACCATCTGTTTTTCCGTGGGCCATGTATCAAGGAACATTCCCCCGGTATGTGAGATTTAAGCTCTTCCTAGAAGTGCACTCCTGAAGAGTGCACCGACGGTTTCTATGGTAATTTGTTCAGCCTTTTCCTTACTAATAGGCATGACCCAGAGACGTTTATGCCTTTAATAAAACGGCCTTATAGATTGTTAAGGATGGCACCGCCAGCCTCCCTAATCCTCCGCAATGCCGAGCCTCGGGGCTGGCGACACAAAGAAGCACTGTCCCCTGCCAAGCGCCGCCCCTCGGGCTCCCACTCCAGCCCAAGAGGAAGTGGGGAGGAGGAGACTCCTCAGGAACCCTCCTTCCTCGCGCTCGGGTCTGCTCCCAGCTCGGGCACAGCTCTCGGCTCGCCATCCGGGCCACAACTCTGTAGGGAGGCCCCGGCCCCGCCGGCCAGTGCGCCCCGGAGCCCCCGGCCGCCCGGGTGGATAGCGCAGGGTAACCCGGTGAGTGGACCCCTCCGAAGACCTGCGGCCTGGGAAGGGACCGGCTACGAGGAGCTGGGAGCAGGGGTTACTGGTGGTGGGACTGGGTCCCGGGGGCGCACGGGGAGGGGGGCACTGCGGGCCTGGGTGGGGTCCACCCTGGGGCAGCCCGGGGGAGCTTTGTGTCAGTGCAGCTGCCGGTCATTTTTCTCTGCTCCCCGGCTCTGCACCCCCTCCCCCTTGCCGCACGGCTCCTGCGCCCCGCGTTCTGACAGCGATATTGGTGTGGGCTGCGCTTTGTGTGGTCGCGTTCCACTCAGGCGTGACTTCCAGAAACAGCTTTCTGGGATGAGAAGACCACGGCCGGGGAAGGAGGCCGGGTTGGCTCGGGGGCTCCCAGGTATCTGGTGACAGAGCATCTCTTCTGCCTCGCTGCCCTTGGAACTTTGCAATCAGGGTCTCTGGGACCGAGATTCTCTTGCTCTCTTGCACTGTTCCCTGGAGACCGGGTGGGGCTGGAGGAGAGGGCAGCGCTCTGCGTGCGCCCACCTCACCCCGACCTCGGGCCCTGCGGCCTGGAGAATTTTCTGCCAATCGCGCTGAGCTTTCCTGCTGCGCTCCCCTCCTCCCAGGCTGCCGCCCCGCCCCAGCTCCTCCGTCTAGGCGTCAGCGGCTCTGGGCCTGGGAGGGAGGAGGGGAGAGTGGAAAGGGGCCGGCTCCGAGTTTATAGAGGGCAGCCCCGGGGAGTTTAGGAGAACATCGCTCACCCATTATCCATTTCATAGAGACCCTCTGAGGCAGTAGGGCCAACACCTAGGAGGAAGCTGGACTTTAATAAAAAACAAACAGCAAACATGAAAATCACCCTGGTCTTCTCATCCCGGGCAAGGGTTCCTCAACTCTGTTGTGCTCCTGGAAGTCGCCCAAAAGGAGATGGGTGCAAATAGGACTGAGAGAACAACAGAGAGCCCCATGGGGGCTCAGGAATTAAGAAAGAAGGGTGGTGAAGCCGAAAGCTTTGCTTCCTCAATTCTATAGTAATGGTGGTCATGATCACTGTTATTATCAGTCCATTCCCCATGGGGAGTTGATACATTTGCATCACACAGCTTAATCATTTTTATCCTCTTCTCCCCTCCCACCATCTCTTGGTTCTCTTCCCATTTGCAAAACATTTATCTCACTACTTCCTAGTATCTGTCCTTATTTTGCTCTGTATTTATATTTTTGGGTGTCTCACATATATATGAGAAACCATGCAATATTTAAGCTTGTATGTCTGATTTATTTCACTTAACATTATGGTTTCAGGTGCATCCATTTTCCTACACACAACTCAAGTTCATCCTTCTTTATGGCAGAGAAGGTTTTGTTTTTAAGCTGAGTGGTAAATATACACAATTTTAAGTTTTTAAATTGTTTTGCTGTTACTTTACTGTTTATATCCTTCCATGGACATTACATATTCTTGTAGATGTGTGAATTAAACATTTTCAAATTAAAATTAGCTGGAATGTCTAGGGTTGAACCAGCTCCTTTGTGGATTAGTAGAAGTTGATGGACATTCAAAAGGAAGAAAGAAACAAAAGCGTTCATGGAAAAAATTCTCACGAAGAAGAGAAGATATGAATTATTGGATGTCTGTGCTCTCAATCAATTTTCAAGGTCAGGCTGGCTATTTGCTGAAGAAGTGACCATAGGTGTGTCCTTACCTTCATACCTCTCCTCCAGGCATCTATCCTGTGATTACCCACTCATTCTCTTGAGGAATCAAAGAGTAAAATGTATTCTCTGACCTGGCACTTCAACTCTTACGTTTCAAGGTCTGAAACTGAGCTATAATCTTGGATGTGAGTGGCATAGAATCCAAAAGTTTCCACCATTCCTATGTACATGTCTTCCAGGGAAAATCCCCTCTAGGCCCATGGAACTGCTTTGTGTTAGGAGTATAAACTCTGCTCTCCCTAGTTACAGGTCCTGCTTGGGGTGCTTTTTGCTTCCGTGGTGACTGTGTACAAAATTAAAAGGCCCAGGGAAGAAAGAAGAAGCCATAGGGGAGGTTAAGAGGAGAAATAAAAAAATATTTCCCCAGGTGATGTCCATCTGAGTTCACCAAGCTAGGAAACAGGGATTCAGGCATCAAAAGGAAGCATTTGATTCAAAAGACAAGTCTTGTCACTCATAGCTGGTTAAAGTGGGAACAGAACCAGATACAGAGTTCAAGGAACCTCACAGAGGAGGAAATGAAAAACACAGATGTGCAAATGAAAGATGATGACATGGTTTTAAAGCCAGTGAGATAGGACCTGTCGATTGATCTATTGTTTAATGTGTTTAATTTTTTAATTGAACTTGTGTTAACCTGGGTTCTGTTTTAAATTATAATAATGTACAGCAATTCAGAAGGATATAGACTTGTTTTTTAAAAAATACTATTCAGCTCTTCCTTTCTCAATATAATCAAAGCTAGGATATTGAAATGTGGCCTCCATAGATTGTGTATACATAAAAACTAGCGTTTAAGAAATATTTATATATTCCTGATGCTAAAGAAGGTGGACACAGCACTAGATTTATTGGAGTAGGTCCTAGATTCACCATCTACCACCCATGGGACTTTGAGCAAGTGACAAACTATCAAGCTATTTGGGATTTTGGTTGTTTTGTTTTACCTGTCTATAAAATGGGGATAATGATAATACATACGTCATAGGTTTATATAGATTTATTATCAGGATTAAATAAATGGCATGAATCAGTTATTACAATGCCAAAACCTAAAAAACAGTATTATTATTACTGTCACTACTGCAATTACTACTATCATTACCATTATCTTTATCTATAAAAATCCGCTCATGTCCTATATATCATAATGAGTTGAAATTTTTACTTAATATATATCTAGAACTTTCTAGGTAGATGAAAAATAGATTTAATTTATCTTTGAACTAGCTAGTGAGGGCAGAAATGTGAGTTCTATGTTCTGGTCAAGTAGCACATTAGCACTGGGGAAAGTATGGACCCAGAGAGAAGGGTCCTATGGGCAGTCCTTGAGGGGGGAAACTGTGGGTGGGAGTGGGGGCAGGTCAGGTACAGTGGAGTGTCAGGGGACGCGTGAAAGGTGGGTAAGTGTGGGACTGAGTTGGAGATCCAGCATCCACCAGACTGGAAATTGATACGAGGAAATATTCTTTGTGTTTGATCTATGTCCATTTCTAGGTTTTCTTTTTTTTTAAATCTCCATTTGCAGTTTTGTGTGAGAATCTATATATATATATCTATATATATATATATATATATAGATAGATATATATATCTTTATTTAGTTACCTTTCTTATTGCTGAGACAAAATACCTGACAGCCTCAAGTTAAGGAGGAAAGGTTATTTTGGTTCCTAGCTTGTAGAGGTTTCAGTACAGTGTGCTGGACCCAAGGCAGGATGGCATAGCAGAAGGGCATCACAGAGGAGAATCAGTTCATGATGTGGCAGGCCAGGCAGAAGTAAGCAAATAAGTAAAGTACCAAAGCAGCAGTTCCAAGCAACAAGCCTGCCTTTATATGCCATCCAGGCTACACAAACCCAGGATGGCTCTTCCCATTATCAACACCCAGAATGATGCTAAATCAATTAATGGACTAATTCACACACATCCAGGTTGTTTTGAAAGAGTGAAGACATTCTAGATCCTTCATCAGATTGTGATAGTACTCTCCCCATAGCCTTTCCACCATTGAACATTAGCTACCTTCTTTATTTACTTTCTTTACTTTCTTCACATTCTTCTTTCCTCCACTTCCTTCTCTTTCTCCTAGTTCTTTTTTGACAATCCTGTGGGCAACATACATTATGTTTCCTATTGACTGATGAGGTTGAGCATTTTTGTTTTCTTAGAGTTAGCCATTTAACGTTGCTCTTCTTTGCATATCTTCACTTAGAAGAGTAGGATTTCCACGGAGAGAAAGATGTGGGTGAGAAGGGAAGGAAAGTGAATGAGGCTGATCTGAAATGGAATCAGTGTCTGTCTAGGGACACCAGGTAGGCTTGGAGTTGCAGGGAGAGAGGGAACAAGAGATAAGTGAAGGAGCTACCACCCTGGAGTCATCACAGACCAGGAGGAAGGAGCTAGGTCTTCCCCTGTGGATATAGAGGAAGATCTGGGGATTTTTCTTCAGAACAATAATATAGTTAGAAAAGTTTTAAGACCTTGATGACTTAGAAATTGGATTGATCTAATCCATACATGAATTACTGAAGAAGTAAAGTAAGTTAATGGCAGTGTGATTAGAAGTCGTGAACAAGGACATTGACAGTACTTGTGGCCAACTGATCATGGGAATAATAGGACAAAAGAACTTACTGCGACTCTGTGGTTTACTGTCCTAGTTATTTGTGGACAACAGGAGGGGCCAAGAAAAAAACAATCTTCTTATTAATGTGTTTGCTGGTTGTATATTCTCAATAGTTCTCTGAGGTAGATAGGTAGATAATCCTTGTGTTTAACTGCTAAAAGCATCAAGCTTATGCAATTTACCTCAGAGGGGCTCTTTTGGAGGAAAATAATGAGTTTAAAACTTCTTTAGTTTCAGAAACCAGCTATGAATGATTTCTGTCCTCTTTCAGTTGGGGTTTTAACCTTATTCGCTACTTCAGGACAGGACTTTTTTATAGATAGCTGTGGAAAGCACAGTGCTGTCCAAGACTTTTTCAAGGACTCAGAAATAATGGAGAAATAACTATAATAATCTTTAGCACCAGTATGATCATTAATCTTAATATTGGCTGCAAAAAGGACAAATATAAAATCTGAATCAATAAATATTCAATCCAGTGTTTATAAAACCCAACATTATGTTAGACTTCTTTTTCACTTTGTAAGAATTTCCTATTATTCACATACTTAAATGATTTATTTTTAACCAAATAAATATCAGCATATACATATATGTTTATGTAGAAATAACTGAATGCTGATGAAAGGGCACGTAGCCTGTGTTATTCCCTCTAATCCTCAGAACCATATGTGATTGATACTGCTATTTCTATTTGATGAATAATGAAATTAAGTTTAAGATGTGTTATCCAAGTCTTGTAGTTAGTTTGACTTGGGATTCAGACCTAGACAGCTTTTAAGCCCAGCACCTGAACCTGTAATTATTTTGCATGTGAGAGTGAGTCTTATGGTTTGGATGTGTCCCTCAGTGTTCATGTGTTGGAATCTTAATCCCTAGTGCAAACATGCCCAGAGAGGAGACCTTTAAGAGGTGGTGGTTGGGCTGGGGATTTAGCTCAGTGGTTCCGGTGCCTGCTCTGCAAACGCAAGGACCCGAGTTCAATCCCCGGTACCAAAAAAAAAACAAAAAACAATAAGAGGTGGTGGTGAATTCAGAGTCCTCATGAATGGATTAATACCATTATCCAGGTAGTAGGTTAGTTCTTACCAGAATGGGTTCCTGATAAAAAGAACCATTCAGTCCCCTTCCTGGATCTCTCTCACATGTACCCTGTTGCCCTTCTGCCTTCTGCCATGGGTTGATGTAACACAAAGGCTCCAAGGAAAAATAGAGAAGAGGTTAAGGCCAAAGATAAAAACTTAGAAAATGTCTACATATGCCAAAGAGAAATAAAAGAAGGTCAGAGAGTAATGGGTTCCAGAGTATGAAGATAAAGAGCTTGCTCAGGATGGGAAGAGCAGCCATGCCCAGAGCTGCTGCATGCTCAGGACAAGAAGCCATGGATGTCTTGATTATGAAAATACCTGTTTTTGGAGGTCTGTTTCAGTCAAGTTCGTATAGGTCAGACTGTGGAGCATCCTTAAGGGGAGCTCATGGTGAAGCAGAGGACACTTGTGAGTTCACATTCATTCACCAAGTGTCACATCTTCCTTGGCTGTGTTCCAGTGCAAGCAAGAATCTGCCATCTTTTCATGACTTGTTGCCATCTGCACTTGGTTGTCCAGGACTTGGATTCCAGGCACAGAGGACTTATGTGGCCTCTTACTCAGGCTGTGACTTGGACCAAAGAAACTTTTCTAAGAACCCAGACTTTTTGGATTGAAATTCCAAATTCTCCAAGCAGGGATTAAGAAAATCAGTGTGGAGGCCAAAAAGAATGGGCACTAAAAGAACAAAATGTTGCACCATTATATCAGTGCTTTGAGGTTGCCATATCTAATGAACACAAATAGAGTGGTTTAAAGTAACAGGAATTTATTCGCTCACAGTTCTGGAGGCTTAGAAGTTCATTATCCAGGCATCAGGAATGTTGGCTCCTTCTGGAGGTTCAGAAGTGGAATCTGTCCATGCCTTTCTAATTTGAGCTTCTGTTTTTTGCCTACATCCTTGCTGTTCCTTGGCTTGTAGACACATAACTTCAATCTCTGCTTCCATCTTCTGATAACACCTGCCTCGATGTATCTGTATCTCTTTGCACCCAGATATCCTTTTCTTATCATAACATCAGCCGTTGGTCCAGGCCCATCCAAATCCAGTATGACCTTATCTTAACCTGAACACATCTGAAAGACACTATTTCCAAGTAAAGTTACAGATACTAAGTTAGGACTTCAAAATATCCCTTCAGTGGGCACAGTTCTGCCTTCATTTCCCTCTTCTGTTTTTGTCCATCTATGATAGAAAAGTGTCATACTCTCTGAGTTTGACCCTACGAGTTCAAGTGGACAGGGCATAATGGGTCTCCTTGATTGTAGACCTGGACACTGACAGCTTTAGTCATTTCACGTGTCAGTGTCATCTGCACTGTGAATTGCCCCATCTGGTAAGAAAGGGGGAAACTCTGCTTGTTTTTATTTGTCTGTTTGTTTGTGTACTCCTTGCCAAGCTAAATCTTTGCTTTCTTCTCTATAGAAACCACTGGAGCCATGGCGACTCCCTCTGCTGCCTTCGAGGCTCTTATGAATGGAGTGACAAGCTGGGATCTCCCTGAAGATGCCATCCCATGTGAATTGCTTCTTATCGGGGAGGCCTCATTTCCTGTGATGGTGAATGACATGGGCCAGGTCCTCATTGCTGCCTCCTCCTATGGTAGAGGCCGCCTGGTGGTCTTATCCCATGAAGACTACTTGGTGGAAACTCAGCTGTCTCCCTTTCTTGTCAATGCTGTGGGGTGGCTTTGTTCTTCCCCTGGGGCTCCCATTGGTGTACACCCATCCCTGGCACCTTTGGTCAAAGTCTTCGAGGGTGTTGGAATAGAGGCAAAGATTGAGCCAGAAGTGAACGACTCCTTGGGGGTTTACTGTATTGATGCCTACAATGAAAATATGACTGAAAAGCTGGTCCAGTTTATGAAGCGTGGAGGAGGTTTACTCATGGGAGGCCAGGCCTGGGATTGGGCCAACCAAGGTGATGATGAAAGAGTTCTGTTCACATTCCCTGGGAACCTGGTGACCAGTGTGGCAGGTGTGTACTTCACTGACAACAAAGGAGACACCAGTTTCTATAAAGTCTCTAAGAAGATGCCCAAGATCCCAGTCTTAGTTAGGTGAGTACCTGACCCCACTGTGGATGGAATTGGCCCCAGGTTAAAATGTAGACATGGTTCTTATCTTCACATTGCTTCCAGGCTAACAGCAGAGAATCTGGCACTCAGACATGCGTTCTTCACAAAACAAGTAGATTTTTAAAATATTGTAAAGCCCAGGAGGGGCAAAGTCCTCATTGCTCCTGCCTTTCCAGGCAGGATTATTTTGCTGTTTGGTGAGAGTACTTCTTTATTGGCCATGGAGTCACCCAATATCTAGCTTAATAAATACACTCATGACCTGAAGAGTTAGCACAATAACCAGGAAGATTCTTAGAAGAAGGATTCTTTCAACTGAAATGCAAGGAAAAGGAAAACACTAAGGATCCCATAACCAAAGTCTAGAGAGAAGTGGGAAAGTCTAGAAATTTCCAACCAGATCAGGTTAGAATGAAAATAGGAAATAAGGGATTCAGAAATTGAAATAACAAAATAGATGGTACAAATTATATGTGCTAAATCTAGGATTTAAGAGAGAGATTTTTATCTCTGGGGTCCAAGACTAAATCATTGAGAATGAAGAATATAAGTGATGAGTGCAGAGAGAAAATGCACTGAATGAAAATTATTTGAAAACATCACCTAGTCTGTTTTATTCACACATAGTGCTGTATATGTGGCAGGTTAATAGATGCTCAAGAAATATTCATTGGACATAAATTACATGGATGGATATAGGGGGTGAATATACATGGATGAATATAGCTGGAGTGCTCACAAGAGTAGAAAAAGTACATGAAGCCACTCTATTGTATATTAAAATTCTCATATTCCTTGGAACAGAGAACACTGATATTTCTGGCTGATAGGGTCAGGGTAAGGTAGGATTGGGTGAGGAAGATGCATAGAGCTGGAGGTATGGGGAATGAATGAGCTGCAACCTCTCCTAGGGTCGAATGTTTTGGGAAAACCAATCAGAACAGTTTTTTTGTTTTTGTTTTTTTCAGAACAGTTTGTCTACTCTCTTTTGGATGACACCTGGCTCCATTTTAACCTAAATACAATGGTACATAAGTTCACAAACTTAATTTGTTCCATGATTCTGGAAAAAATGGCCGTGTTCATGTTCATGAGGGAGAAAGATGACCACAGTCATGTTTGTCATCCAGTGTGGAGTTCGAAAACAAAAACAACGTTTTTCCAAATGCTTCTATTTGCGAACCAAATTGTTCTCAAACAAAAGCATTCATGAACCAGGAGACACCACATTTTGGGCTTCTGAGAAGTAGTTCAGAGTGTTTATTCATCCACTCATTTAGCCAGAGTTGATGGAGTGTAGTCCATATTCTAGACATTTCTTATTTTAAGAACACAGTTTACAGATAAGAAAACTAAAGGCCCAGAAATATATCTAATAAAAAGATCGGGGAAGAAATGTCAAAAACCACATAACTCCTATTGAGGGCTACATTATTGTAGTTCAGTAGAATCTGGAAACTTGGGACCCATGACCAGGGACTGCCCAGTGTGGCATTCATTGTCCTTTCAACTTTCTTTTTCCCTCCAAAAGAAGCAGAAACTCCCTGTCTTTCTTTACGCCATTACTCCCATGAGACTGATTTTTCAGTCTGTAGTGTTCCCTGCATGTTCACAGAGTTATCAGAGATGCATGAAAAAAACCATTGTACAAATACTAAGGTCTGTATGCTCACGTGCTCCAATTGAAAACACCCCTCTGAAACCTGACTTAATCAGCATTATAAACTGATGCTGTATGTGTTCCTTTTGGTTTGAAAAATGCTGAAGGGCTATTGGCCACAAAAATTATTTAGACTTCCAAATTACTAAGGAGATTTCAAAGTTTTGAAAATTTAAATTGTCTCAGATGAAATAAGAAACTGTCAAATTATTGAATATAAACATGAATACAATTCTCCAAGTGGCTTGGAAAAAATACCTGAGCAAGTTTTTTTTTGTTTGTTTGTTTTTTTGTACCAGGGATTGAACTTGGGACCTTGTGCTTGCAAGGCAAGCAGTAGAACCACTAAGCTAAATCCCCGGCCTCCTGAGCAAGTTTTAATAAATTTATTTATAACAAGGATCTGCATATCCTTAGAAGTCATTACTAGTTATATGTTAGCTATATAGAGAATAGATTAGTAAAAAAATAGTTGGTTAGTTGATAAATGATAAAACTAAGTGATGAACCACTAGATAGACTGATCATGACAATAGGAATGTTAACACAAATTGTATATTTCAAAAATGGAAGAGAAGAGATTAATACAGGGCCAGGGATTTAGCTCAACAGTGCTGCCACCTGCTTCACAAGCGCGAGTTTCTGAGTTCGATCCCTGGTACCAAAAAGAAAAAGATTAATACAGATCCTATCAAAATGATAATATGGGAAAATTATAAGTTTATGCAAATAAGTTTGTCAATTTAGATGAAATGGACATTTCCTAATAGACATAAATTACCAAAATTGACACAAGAAAAAACCATAAAATGTATGCTAAATTCTAACTAACACTAAATCCACTATGGTATCCTGGATTGGATAGTAGAAGGCATTGGTGGAAAAACTGCTAAAGTTGAAAAACTGCTAAAGTTTATATAAAGTCTGTAGTTTAGTTAATAGTGTTTGACCAGTGTTAACTTCTTAGTTTTCTTAAATAAACCATGGCTGTATAATGTATAAATTTTAGGGCTGGGGATTTAGCTCAGTGGTTCCACCACCTACCTTGCAAGCACAAGGTCCCAAGTTCAATCCCTGGTACCAAAAAAAAAAAGAAAGAAAGAATATAATGTATAACTTTAGATGAAAATTGGTGAAAGGCAAATAGAAACTCTCTGTACTGTCTTCACAGCTTTTCAATTTTTTAAAATTACAAAATAAAAATTTTCGTTATAACCCACAACACAAAGAAAACTCTAGGCTCTGATAGTTTTAAATGTGAAGTTTATTAAGCCTTTAAGGGACAAATACCAATCCTCTATGCAAACTCTTCCAGAAAATAGAACAGAAAGTTTTTCCTAACTTGATTTTTAAATCACCATTTCTCTGAGACTTTCATCAAAGAAAGACACTGTAAGAAAAGAAAACTATTGAACAATATTGCTCTTGAACATGGATGCAAAGTTATTAACAAAATACTAGCAAACAGAATACAGCAATATACAAAAAATAGTACATCATAGTAAGGTAGAGATGTACCAAGCCTGCATGGGTGGTTTAACATTTAAAAATCAAATTAACATATTAAAAGAAAAATATGAGAAAGCCATATAACTCAATAGGTGCACTAAAAACATTGACAGAATTCAATACCAAATCATGATAAAATTTCAGCAAACTGGAAATTAAAAGGAATTTTCTGTTAAGAAGTATCTAGCTAAAAAAAGATTCTTAATAGTGGAATATTGAGTGTTTTCCCCTAAAATTAAAACAAGGTATGGAAGACTACCTGCTCTTACGCCTTCTGTTGAACATCCTACTAGAGTTACTGATAGTACTGCAATAAGAAAAGGAAATAAGGGATAGAGTATACAGTGTGTATACACTGGACAAAGGGATGAATTGCCCCCCCCATGGTGTAAGATTTCATCATGCTACTCAGAATGGTAAGCAGTTTAAACCTTGTGATTTGTTCACTTATGTAATTTTTCTTTCAATGTTTATGGATTAGAACTGTGATGAACTGAAATTGCAGAAAGTGAAACTGTGGATAAGAAGACATGCTTGATATCTTTTCTAGAACACTGAGCTAAACAGACAGGAAAAACTTGAATTTTGGTGTTAAAAAACAGATTACCAGGACAGCAAAAAAATAAAAAGTATTTTAAACATTTAGAAGAGTTGTGACAAGATTCATTTGAGCATGACCAGCAGAATATTTCCTACAGTGGGATTATTTTATCCCTAGAAGTATTTGCAGAAGATATAATCATTGTGTAATGAGAAAAAAAACTACAAAAAAGCTTCCAAAATATTTGACTTTACCACGGTTGAAAATTACAAAAATCAATTAAATTTTTATACACTTGAAACTAACAATTGGTAATTGAAATTAAAATATGTCACCACTTAAAATAGTATCTAAAATCAAGAAATACTAAGGGTTAGATTTAACAAAAGATATCATAATGTACTGAAAACTACAAAATGTCACTGAGAAAAATTAAATAAAAACTAAAGAAGTGAAGAAATATATCATATTGATGAATCAGAACATTGTATCTTTCTTTCTTCTCTTCCCTCCTTCTTCCCTCCCTCCCTGACTAGTTTGCTGTTACTGTTTTTTGATAGTTCTTTAATTTGGGCTGAAAAACCTGGGTGCACATGTACTTGGCCCCCAAAGATGTACTCTCATACAATAGAAACCATTAAATAGAAAGTTTGGTTCCCATTTTATTGTTCAAGTTAAAGTTATTTTTCTTTTAAAATTTTATTGGTACAATTTAAATATACTTAATGATCACATTCATCAAAGAGAGTTTGTATCTCTATGTGATATATCTTTTTGTTGTTGTTTTTTTTGTTTTGTTTTGTTTTTGGTACCAGGGATTGAACTCGGGTCCTTGCGCTTGCGCAGCAGGCGGCGAAACCACTGAGCTAAATCCCTGGCCCAAAAATGTATCTCTATTCTTTTTTCTTTCTTTCTTTTTTTTTTTGGTACCGGGGATCAAACTCGGGTCCTTGTGCTTGTGAGGCAGGCAGCAGAACCACTGAGCTAAATCCCCGGCCCTCTATGTGATATATCTTGATTCCTCTTTTTCTCCCAATTCCCTTCCTTCCCTATATCCCCACCCCCTTATTTACAAAAGCTTTGCTTCCATTTTGAGACAAGGTCTCCTTTTCTAGTCCAGGCTAGCCTGGAACTTACTATATATCCCAGCCTGGACTCAAACTTTTGTATTCACCATCCTTCAGCCTTGGCCTCCTGAGTGCTGAGCTTACAGGTGTGTGCCACCATGCCCAGCTCAGAATATTCAATATTTCTAAGATATCAGTTTTTTCC